GGAGGGAATGAAACCATATGTGCTAAAGCTCCTTTCAGTAGCAGCGCTAGTTATAAGCATTCCTAAAATTTGAACCACTAATTTACTTAGTTTTGTCCCAAAACAGGTTCCTTTCCACCAAAGCTCGGGTTCTAGTGTATTGACAGACCTTAAAACGTATTGTTTTGCAAAAAATCATTATTTACATCTATAGTACGCCAATTCCGCCATTAAATTTATCGAGTCATCTGGGTATTTTGAGGTAGTTAAATAATCAATAAACTCTGTACACTGAATTTGCTCCTCGTTGCTCAAATGAACACAATTTAAACGCGGGTCTAAGATATTAGCTGCCAAATGTATAGGGTGTATGGCAGTATGCTTTCTTTTTGCTAAAAATTCCTGGACATTTTGCTCTTCCTGCTTCGTAAGGGGACTTGAAAGTAACGCCGTTACAAAATGTTTTTCTAGGGTATAAAAACAATCTATTACTTCACTTAGCTTAGGCTTATCTGACTCTAGTTTGGTTATATATTCAACAATGGGGTTAATCAAATTAAACAACTTCAACACTCGTACCCAGAATATATCTTCATCTAAAATTAATTTTCCTACTCGCTTGCTCAAACTTTAAGGGCATATTTGGTATCAAGTAGACTTTTTAAGCAGTAAATAATTGATCCCCACCGAGTTTTGAAGGGTAACTTCAAAGATATTGGCATAGTAGTCTCCTTTTTTCAGTCTGGATTTTTTTAAGTGGCCATTAAATGATGAGAGTTATTAATTTTTTTAACGATAGCTTTATCATCGTCCTCTATCGAAGCCATCGTTCGCATTTTTGAGATGTCTCCTATCAATAAGTTAAGTGTATGGGCGACGCAACCGTAAACAGATATATGTTTATACTTTTCATGAATTATATTTTTGGCTTTGACCATTGCACTGGTATTGTCTGTCACTAGAGCAATGACATTTTCTGGTCCTATTTCTATTAGTATTTCTATTTTTTCTGCCATGTACTCTGCAATATGTCGATTTGTATCAGTAGTAAAAATTTAAAAAAACCCAGGTGTAGTAGTGGTATTGATAAAATTAATAATGGCCTCGTTTCTTCTGTTTCTCCAACCATCACACTGCAAACCCAGAGCATTGGCTTCACATATTTTAACTTTTATGTTGGCTGCATTGTTTCTTATTCTGATTCTAGTTTATTAATCAAAGACTGTCGTGAAGGCATTTTAAAAGTTGGCTTGAATTTTTGAAAAATAACTGCCAATGTTTATTTTCCGAGATTGCAAATGATGTTCCAGAAGCATCAATTGCCCTTGCAAACAGTTGTTCCAACTGTGCTTGCTCTTCTCTATTTGAGAAATCCATAAACCTACGTAAACTAGAAGTTGATGCGCTACTTGTTATTCTGACAGTTGTTGAAATTAAAGCCTCGTCCACTTCACCCTGATCTGAAAATAAATGATTTGTTATGACTTGAATTGAATTCAACTTCAACAAAAAAGCCCCTTTTACTCTCCGTGTAATAAGGCTTTCATTTTTAAATTTTGCCCTCCTCCCCTTACACTCACATCCTTTAAATTAAACCGAACACTATTTATTTTTAATTAAAATATCTGTTCAGGCAATAAAATACAACAAACTTATTATACCCCTTCAGTTACTTTTTTTAAGTGCTTTTTGATACAAATAATACATCATACTATCTACTAAATATTTACATATCTTTCAAAGATGAATCTGCAGTACTATCGGAGAGGCAATTGATACACTTCGACTTTCCCCTATTTTAAAGCATTTTTTAATATTACTGGGACATTTAAGACACTTCAACAAGTGTTTTGTCATTTTTGTTGCATTCTCTTATTCAGGGGCAAATCTATTTAGTGTTGTTAATATATTTTCTACAAATGAGTCAACCATTTCATTTACTTTTGTATTTGAAGGTCATGTACTATCCATTAATACAAGCTGAAACCTCGTTACATTCAGATTTTTTTAATTATGAAATGTTATTGTTTTATGGTTCTCACTAGATAAATCCTTATGAAGATTGACTGAAATTAGTGAGTGGTCTGTTATTTTCTTTTATTCACTTTATGATTTGTCAATAATACATAAATTTTTGTAGATGAGACATTTGTTACACATGTAAAATCATTAACTAATTGATAAATACCATATTTTCTGATTGTCGTTAAGTTAATTTGAATAGAATGAGTTTTCTGCTAAACCAATATTATAAAGATACCACCGGGGTTTATGTTGCCTATAAAATCATCTAGCTTTTCCAAAAATTCAAAATGACTCCCACTGGGAGAATGGTATAAACTGTAGATGTAGTATTTCTTTTTGTGTACAAATATCTCAACTTCCGTTATCCACATGTTCCTGTTGTCCTGTATTTTTAATATTTCGCTGTATCTGTAACCTTTTTTTATAAATATTAATGTACCACCTGTGTGTGTGTGTGTGTGTGTGTGTGCATTTACAGACAAACTACTCACTGAATTGTAACCAGTAATGTCCGTTTCATTTTGGGTGTAGGTTAGATTAGGTTGAGAATGAGAGGGATGATCTCATCGCTTTCCACTGCGACCAAGATGGGTTTATTATGGCTCATGACTAACTTATAGTTCACCGTACAAGCTACATCTTGTGGTGAAGGCCATGGTTGAATTGGGTGAGACTTGTTTATTGTCGGTATGCTGTAGTCGAGTAAATCTGAAGATCTGAACCTGGTTCTTTCCAGAGCGGAGCAGGTACATAGAATGTGCTCTGCAAACTCGTCCTCCACGCTGCATAATTGACAGTCCGATATTTGTTGCATACCTATCATTCTCATGTGGTTGCCCAAACGGCAGTATCCTGTCGTCAGTCCCGTGAAAATTCGTAGATCTACTCCATTCTCGGATCTGAGCAGAGGCGGTCGTAGAAGGGTTGCTTATAAACGCTTTCGTGAGTGTTGCATTCTCCGTCCATTTTGAGATAAGTCCTTTGGCAGTGCTCTTTGCAATGCTCAGGAATGGTTCTGGTCCTATGAACACAGATTCGGTTCCTATTTTAGCAAGCGCGTCGGCTTTTACATTGCACTCTACACCACTGTGTCCCGGGAATCCAGATCAAAGTAACTTTGTTCCGGGCACCGAGACATTCAAGGATATTTATACAGTTCCAAACCAGCTCGATTGGAACTCAGGGCCTTAAAGGCTGCCTGGCTATCTGAAAAGATCTTTATAGTCTTGTTTGCGGGGAGAAAATTAATCAACTCTCTCGCTCCCAATTCTATAGCAATAATTTCTTCTTGGAAAATCGTGGCCAGAGAGCCAAGGGTTGCGTCTTTTTCTGGAATGAGGACGCTGTATGGCTTTTCTATTTGCTGTCGGAGAACTAGCGAGTCCAAGACCATGCTGAGGATGTGGTGGTTACTTCACTCATCAGCCTCGTCTTGTCCCATCGCAGTTTTTCGTAGCATTGACTACCCACCTTCAGGAATCTGTAGGAGACCACCCTGGCCTCCCTTTCCAGCAGAATGTGGAGAGGGGTTAGGTCCAGCATGGTCTCCATGGCTCCCGTAGGTGTGGTTGACATTGCTCCAGTTATGATGTGGCACGCAAGCTGCTGTATTCCAGCCAGTTTTACTCTGGCCGTCCGTTGGAGTCCCTTGTCCCTCCAGACGACAGAGCCGTACGTAACCATGGGTTTTACCATTGTTTGGTAAATCCAGTAGAGCAGTTGATGACTGATCCCCCATGCTTTGCCGCATATCCTTCTGAGTGTCCAGAGGGATAATCTGGCTTTGTTAATGGTTTTATCCAATTGGGGGTTCCAGGTGAGTTTCTTATCTAGGCTGATCATCAGATATTTCACCTCCTCCGCAAAAGGAATGATTTTTCCAGCCAAGGTAGGTTGTCGAAGCTTGTTCAGCTGTCTTCTTTTGGTAAAGGGGACGATAACAGTTTTGCGGGGGTTAACAGACATCTGCTCCCTTTCGCACCATCTGTTGATCGTATTAAGGGCTTGTTGAAGGATGTTGGAGATCAACTCTTCGAAATTTCCCCTAATTATGATAACCAGATCGTCCGCATAGCATTGAAAATCCACCCCCTACCGGGAGAGATCGTCTAGCAGGTTATCCACCAGAATGGTCCACAGTGGGGGTGAAAGTATGCCGCCTTGTGGACATTCTCTGGCAGGCCTGAAAGTGACCGTCTCTCCCTGCAGTGATGAAGTGATGTTCAGGTTTGCCAGCATGCATGGGTGTAATCTTCAGTAACGTTGGTCTCTGAAAGGCATATAAGTAGGGGTTTATTTTTATTTACCAATTATAATAATACGGTTTTATTTGCATTTAATCCTTGTATGTTCATATACAATATGGTTTTTTCTAGTTGCTATATCTTTTGTTCACTGCGAATATCAGGGTAGTCAATTTTTTCCTGTAACTGATTAACTATTCTTTTATATGCCTCGTATATTCTGTCATTAGCCTTATGATCCATTCTTAAATTGGGAACTTTTAATATTTCTATTGCGTACCTACAGTTTGCACAGCAAATATCCCTTGATTGGCATTCGGTCCATTTATGTTCACCAGTACATATCTGACAAGTTGGTATTTTCTTACATTCATTGCTAAATGGCCAAACTTCCAACAATTAACGCATTGTTTTACATTTATACTGTCTCTGTAAATACACGATTTCCACACAATTTGAATTTTTTCTTTGTTTTCAATACACCTATAAGAGTTTTTATCCAATTCAAGAATGTTGTTTATCATACTTCTTTTATTCTAAAATGAGTGTACCAATTTTAAATCTCTGACACTTCTAAACTAGTCGCCAATAAATTGACTTTGTGAGAAATTAAGAACCTTTCTTTACAACATTCGTACTCGATCCCAACTAGTCATATATATGGCCACTCTCACTTCTAAAATTATTATTATTATTATTATTGGGATTCTCTTTAAAAAAGGAACACAATTTTACTATAATTTTATTTTTTAGGCCACCGAATTCGATAAGGCGCGAGTCGTCGCTAGAAGAGCATTAGAAGCCATAAATATGACCTTACTTGATGAACGATTCAATATTTGGATAGCTCTACTTAATTTAGAAAACATGTTTGGTACCAAGGTATGCTCAATTTCCACCAACGCTATTTTCAATTTTTTCATATTCACTCGTTCTCTTTTAGGAATCGTTCGACAAAACTTTTGAAGAAGCTGTTAAATACAATGATTCGCTACAAATATATCTTAAAGTCATCAAAATGTTAGCCGAAACCGGGAAGTTAGCGGACATGGAGGAGAAAATTAAAAAAGTCCGAAACAAATATAAACAAGTACCCGAAATGTGGTTAGAAATCGCCTACACTTATTATCAAGTGAATGAATTCAAAGAAGCCAGAAATATGACCTTACTTGATGAACGATTCAATGTTTGGATAGCTCTACTTAATATAGAAAACATGTTAGGTACCAAGGTATGCTCAATTTCCACCAACGCTATTTTCAATTTTTTCATATTCACTCGTTCTCTTTTAGGAATCGTTCGACAAAACTTTTGAAGAAGCTGTTAAATACAATGATTCGCTACAAATATATCTTAAAGTCATCAAAATGTTAGCCGAAACCGGGAAGTTAGCGGACATGGAGGAGAAAATTAAAAAAGTCCGAAACAAACATAAACAAGTACCCGAAATGTGGTTAGAAATCGCCAAAACTTATTATCAACTGAATAAATTCAAAGAAGCCAGAAATATGAAAGATTCCGCTCTGAAATCCATAGATAATAGAAAAACGCGTAAGTTTAAAATTATTACAAACGTTCTTTTCTTTAGTGAGTACATATACTTATTTCATTTGTAGAATTAGAAATAATCGTGAAATTCGCTATAATGGAGTTCAAGTTCGGCGATGCCAACCACGGGGCCGCCATTTTTGAAACCATCCTCAGTTCGTATCCTAGGATAGTTACTATTTGGACGACGTACGTCGATCAACTCGTTAAAAAGGATAATATCGATCAAGCAAGGTAAATATTGAATATTGAATTAATTTTTACAACTTCAAAATCCGGTCATAGTTTATTGCACAACATCTTTGAATACTGTCATTATCAGATGATTAACATTACTATAAAGACAAACAGAGGATTTTACATTCATAAGAAATTATTTAAATTTATTGAGGCAGATAAAGTTGATTGCTGATTTATTTAGCAATTTAGCTAATGTATAGATTGTGACACCTCTTCTCTTCTCACTTGTGACATTTGGAAATTGAGAGTGGTGCCAGGCTGTTATTTCGAACAAGGGTTGCTCGGGCGCCAGTTTTGATTTATTTTAATATATTTTACTCGTAAAATACATATAATAATGTATCTGTTTCTTTTCAGGCAAGTATTAGAAAGATCAGTTTGTCAAAGATTGCCTCTTAAAAATATGAAAACGTTATTTATGAAGTTTAGAATGTTTGAGGAACAGCACGGGACACCGGAGACGGTTGAAGCGGTTAAAGAAAAAGCGAAGGAATACGTTGCCAGAGTTTCTTCAAATTGATTGTTAATTTGGATTTGTTTTTTTTATTAAATATATAATTAAATTAGGTACATTATTTTTACTACGTGTGGCAAGTTTTATTTATTGATTACTCAAGATGGGAACGAATGTCTTCACCGCATCCTGATTCTGTTATTAACAATTATAATGCATCCTTTCGGTTGGCTAACTATTTTGATTCCAGGTATGTATATAATATTACATTTTGCAACCATATTACTTCCGTATAATGATAAACAAAATTTTACTGCGTCCTGCAATGTTGCCAGGTTTCCCTAATGAAACAATAACTTATATGTCAAAATTTGTTGAACAGTAAAATAAGATTTTTTTAAAATTTCCAAGCAAACAAGATTAGAATAATGTTTCTATAAGTTTCGAATGGTATTTTCGTTTATTACTTATTGTACCTCGTTTTATTGATTTTATTAGTGGTTTTAATTATTAACTTTTATTAGTATTAATTTCAGTCTTCACAAATGTTTATATCGTAATATTACTCTGTTATTAAAAAATTTGTTTTATAAAAAATAATTTTAATTTTTTAAGACGGAATTTGCACGCCAGGAAATTCATAACAAAAACTACAAATTAACTAAGTTGTCAATAGATGGCGATTAGATGCACTTCTGCGAAATAATTCAAATGTTGAATTATACCTGCCTGTTTGCCAAGTTGTGTAAACCACTTTCCGGCGACCCGACAAGCGTCCCCTCCCTCCCAAATCTAAATTGCTCGTAACATTTTATTGTACCGGCGGACGAGACGAACACTACATTACATTAGAATATCGAACCTATAGGGACCGTATTTAAATAATTTTGTCCACGACCACTTAATAATAAATCAATATTCTACCTCCTAACTAAGAGCATATAGTACCCATATATCACGGAGTGAATTATGATAATTCACGCTTTTGTAATTCTGGCACATTCCGGTAGATAACTAAAGATAGGCGATACTTTTCATAAAGATATTTTCTAGATCGAAAAATCAAAAAATCCAAAAATCGATAAATCAAAAAATCGAAAAATGGAAAGTGGAAAAAACAACAGTTAGTTACCTATGTTTAATAAAAACTTTCCATTCTACACTTAACTTTTATTTAATAAAGAAACCATAATGGTCGTGGACAAAGTATAGTATTAGAGTCGCAATTTATGGCCATTATTCACTCGGGTGACTTGCGCCCCTCGCCTACGGCTCGGGACGCAAACGCTTGCGTGAATAATGGCTACCATAAATTGCTCGTTTAATAATATACTATTATGAACCAGAATAAAACTTTTAGGACAATGTAATATAAACATTTGAATCTATTTTGGTTCGTATATTATTAAGTAGTTCTTTGTTCATCCAGTCTGAGCTTATTTGTTAGTTATCATTGTTTTGTTTTGTGTTTTTTTAGTGTTTTTATAGGTAGTTACACGTTACCCAGCAGTTGATCGACTGAGTTTGTTTATTAAATTTCATTTTGTTCTTGTTTGTGGTGGCGCAAATAGATTATGCTTTTATGCTTGAGTAGGCCTTAAGGATAAAAGCATAATCTATTCGCACCATTATTTTTATCCATCATGATTTAAAAAGCAGTGAAGCGATTGATACTGTTGACAGTTGTAAGCGAAACATGTTTGACGACGGTGAAGACGGTCAATAATAAGTAATAGTAATAATTCATTTTATTGACCTTAAATTAACCATTTACGAAAAAATCTGATGTGTCCAACACACGACTTTCCTATCTAGTTATTACAGGCTTTTTCCGATTATTTTGTACAACCTATTGCAACTCTGTAAATGTTTAAAGGATAAACTAAATATATACATTTACATACATCTAACTCGAAACATTTTTCGATATATATTCACTGCAAATGAAAACACTGAAAAAATTTAATTTTACACTTTTCCTCCAGTTTTTCTATTACGGTCCATTTTAGAGAAATAATGTAAAAAACAAAAATGATAGAGATCGATATTGCAAACAACTTTTAGTTTACCAATTTTCTTAAAAATCAGAATTTGCACCTTTTATCAAATTTCTCGAATACGGTCCATTTATGGAAAAAATTGTAAAAAATGAGAATTATAGAGAATAATATTAAAAGTAACTTTTATTTAAAGAATTTTCTTCGCCAAACATAAATAACAGATAATATTCAATAAAATATAAAACGACCTCTCATAAAGTAACCCCGTCCCCAGATGTTCCGACTTTGTCCAAAATCTAATCAATTCACCACAGGTCGGAATAACGCTTCAATTTAACAAATAATGTTTTTTCTTTACCCTGTAAGGTGTTTTCTTGCCTCTAAGAAAATATTACCCTTACTAGTGACACCCTAGGACTCGGAAGTACTCGAGCGCCAGTTTTATTAATGTGGTTTGCTCCACAACACAGGTAGCTTCTAGTGGAGATGACGGAAAAACTCCAGGGGTCTCGTTGATGTAAGACTATACACATAAGAGGGTAACAATAACGGGCTTTAATCGTTATTGTTACGTTTAAAGAATTGTCGAAGCTGAAAGAGAAAAAGGGAAAGGTCGACACAATTACAAGCCAAATTTTTGAAAATTAATACATCTATTGCTTACGAAAGCTAATAACAATAATAAAAATTAAAATATTTCAAAGCCCACCCCCTTATGAGTCGTTAAAACCCTGAACAAAAAAAATAACAAAAATAAGCGGTTGCGGACGATGGCTTGACAGGTCGGAGCTCAATCAGACGTGATTTAGATAAATATACAGATAAAAGCAAATAACACGGAGTTCTGAATTAAATCGGATTACGGTAGCATTTACTTATGAACAGGGAATATATACGGAAATAGAATTCAATATTAACAATTATGAAAAATAAAATTAATCGGTACCAGGTAACTAGTTTAACTTCCCATCTAATATCCCACCCTTTTGGAATTAAATCAAAGTAAAAGACAAAATGTCACCACGGATAATATCTAATTTCCAGCAGTGTGACGACACAATCACGCATACAAAACACTAGCTAGACATCAGATACTATTTATTTTTTTTTTTGTACGGAACTCAAATAAACGTGTTTTCGGTCGTGACCCCCTTTTAAAAAAAATAAAAAAAAATCCACGGATAATGTCTAATCACTAGTAGTGTAGCGACACAATCACGCATACAAAACACTAGTTAGTTTTCAGACAATATTTTCTTTTCTTTTAAACTTTAATCGAAAAACTAATTAAAGGAAAATTAAACTAAATTTTATCACGGATAATACCTAATCACTAGCAGTGTAGCGACACAATCACGCATACAAAACACTAGCTAGGTATCAGATAGTATTTACTTTTCTATACGGAAATCAAAAAAAAAAATGTGTTTTCGGTCGTGACCCCTGTTTAATAAAAATAAATAAAAAAAATAAAATCCACGGATAATGTCTAATCACTAGTAGTGTAGCGACACAATCACGCATACAAAACACTAGTTAGTTTTCAGACATTATTTTTAATCATTAAATCAATAACGAGTATCACCCTGTATTTAATTTAAAGGAAAGAAAATTTAAATAAAAGAATCAACTACTGTAAAAAAAAAATTAACCTAGACCTGGCAGCAATTAAATCGTTAAATCTATTTATCTTATTAAATAATTTAATCGTATCCAAAATCGGAAAATAAAATTAAAAAAAAAATCAATAATTCAGTCGGGAAATGAAAATAAATCTTTCTAAAAAAAATAAAGACCTTTAACAGAGCAAAATGCTTTAATATTAATTATTGCGGTATTTCAAATTCAATAGAAAATAAAGCCGGTATAAATCGGAATGTGTCTTTTATTTACTTCCAAAAACAACGCGATAAGAAATCAGTTTTTTTTTTTACCTGTACTCGGAGAACGGGATTTGTTTAATCGGAGGCGGCTGGTACTGCTAAGAATTGCTGCTTACTAACTCAAGCGTCGGCGGAAAGATAATGAGATCTGGCCGGTGCAGCTTGTTTTACAGGTGATTTTGGCCACTCGTCGTGCAAACTCGATTATTAATCGAAGATTGAGGTGGGGAAATGCAGGCGATCGTCCGCTGACTTATAAAAAATTTTGATGGGAAGATTCAATATATAGTAAACGTTTGAAAACTCGAATTTTTAACGTTAAAGCTAAATGATGAATACGAAAAATAAAATAAAAATAATAATTCGGTTTTCCGACGGATCCTATATTTCTTAAATAAATAAAAAAAAAGTAACTTCGTTACAACCCGCTTTCGAGTTTTCTTCAAAATTCTAAATTTACACTATTTATCAAATATCTCGAATTCGGTCCACTTTAGAGAAATTATGTATAAGACAAGAATTATAGAAAATTGTGTCACAAACAACTTTTATATAAATAATTTTCATAAAAATTTGAATTTTTTACATTTTGTCAAATTTCTGGAATACGAACCATTTTAGCAAAATTTTGTATATAACAAAAATTGTAGAAAATATTATTTGAATTAACTTTTATTCAAAGAATTTTCTTCTACAACCGTAAATAACAAATATATTCCATAAAATATAAAAATGACCCCCTATAAAGTACCCCCAAGTGCCAACTGTGCTCAAAATCTAATCAGTTCACCGCAGGCCGGAATAAGACTTAATTTTAAAATTTGTTATTTTTCTGTTTATCCGTTCATGAGTTATCGAGTATACAGACACACACACAGACAGCATCGCGAAAATAGTCAAAACGGATTCAGGGGATCCCAAAATGTAAAAATCCGTCAAAAAATCGATGTCGAAAAAAATCATGATTACTATACTTTCCTTATCTGTATACAGATAGGAAAGTAAAAAAACATACAATGTAAACAAAAATACAGAAGAGATAATAATAATAATAATAATAAAATTTAAACTGTGCTGCAATAATCAGTGTGATAAATTTATTGTATTTTCAATAAATATTTTAAGTACTTTTTCAGTTGATTTTAAGAATATAAATTGGCTTAAAAGTTTGCTCTTACTTTTAACTCTTCTCAACTAATTTTTGAACCCACAAATGCATTTGAAAGGCCAGGATCGAT